TTAGTTTGTAGTAGTATATATATATATATATATATATATATATATGCATATCTAGTTACTGAGTTTGTAGATAGAATGCATTTCTATGTGTGTATGCTTCAGAAACTGGACCATTTGCGCGTGAGAGTTACGCGTTCCAGAGTTTGAGAATGATGTGTTTTCAACCACATGAGCTTGAGGACACTAAATCATGTGCACGGTATATGTACAGTGTAAGTATATATTCATGATGTACTTAAAATTTACAAACGTTTTACTGTATGTACGTATACTTAATGACCCTATACTTGATCTACATATACTTTATCTACATATACTTGACGTGCCTTAACTTGATGTCCGTATACTTGATGCACGTTTACTTGATGTGCACATATTTGATGTACATATACTTGGCGTGCCTTTACTTGATGTCCGTATACTTGATGCACGTTTACTTGACGTACACATATTCGATGTACATATACTTGGGGTGCCTTTACTTGATATACGTATACTTGATATACGTATACTTGATGTACGTTTACTTGATGCACACATATTCGATGTACATATACTTGGGGTGCCTTTACTTGATGTACGTATACTTGACAAACGTATACTTGATGTACACATACATGCTTTACATATACTTGATGTACAATATTTTCTGAATACTTTTAATTATCAGGACTGCTCACCGCTATGTTCTCTTTTGCAGTAAAAAGAAATTGACCGAAATGCAAAAGAAAGAAATTGAAGAACTGGAGAAAGCCAAGAAAAAAATCAAGGACAAATACGCCAACGTCTCAAAATTGCACGGGAACTTCTGTAACGAGGATTGGGTATGTCCATTGGTCGTAGTTGTGTTATCGATGGTATGTAATGTGGCTTACCTCATGTGTGTATAGTACAGTATATATACACTTTCGGCTTCTCAAATACCTCTGTTGTGATCTCACAGGAACAAAGGTTTTAGGGGTTTAGCTAAAGCCGTAGTTCTCTAAAGCCCCCTAATAATCGGTAAAATGATTACGGTGATAGATTAATAGCCTTCGCTGTGTTTGCTATCGATATGTATCTACAGTTCGAAGTGATTTCCGCAATTAGCCAGAAACCGCAAAGCCCCTAAACCCTAAACCTTAAACCCTAAATCGATTGTATTTGTCCCAAGATAATGTCCATGGGGTTTTACTCGGGTTGTTTCTTTTTCTGATTCTAAATGATTCACCACAGCGAGGCTACCAGGAATTTGTTTTTAGGTTTCAAGAAAAGAATTCCAAAGAAGGCGAAAATTCGAAGTCTCAAGAATATCCGGGGGAGCGTAACAACGTCAACAGGGACGATCGTGCTACCTCTAAACCCCAAACCTCTAAAGGTAACATCGCGACCGACACACCAGCAACAGCGACAACACCAGCACCTACTACTCAGACGAACAGTACCGCTGCTAATGGGCAGACAGGACCCGCAACGTCGGTACGTCTAAATATATGC